TCATCAGCCCCCAGAGACCCATTTGTACAGTGGGTATTGTACATACTTGGATGGCGTTTCTCCTGCAACCTTCAGTCCAGGACAGCAAGATAACAATAAGATGAGCAATAAATTACTTAAGCTCTAATTAACACATTCTCAAAATCTGTTTAACTCATATTTGCTGTGCTAACATTTCGTCAACCATACTGACAAAGACTCCAAGTCAGATATATAGAATATCACTAGCTTCAGTACTAAAATGTTTACATGGTAATTTAGTTGAAAGTATTCTACTATTAAGAAATCTCAGTAATTTCACAAGAATCAGCAAGTAATAAGTGTATGCAAGAAAAAATATGAATACACACACAAACACACACATATATATGTGCAAATCTTTCTCAGAATGTCAAATCATTCATGCTCTCCAGCAGGATACAAACCTGCATCCTTGACAGTGTTTTAAACCAACCCGGCCACAGAGCATGTCGCCAATCAAGCAAAATTGAATACTGCCTTATACTGCCGGAGAGCACATATTTTTTCTTTAATAAGATTTCTTGAATATTCAGGATAGTAGATGAAAATAAATATACTGTTTAATAAATAAACAGATTGTCTACTCAAATATGGGTATGCAGCAAAAATAACATTTAAGTAATAAAATCTTTCAGATTAATAAATAAAAATAATCTACCACTCCTTTAGAAATTGCTTTGTTTATGTTAGGTTAAGAAACTGAGAAGCTAGGAATGTTTCAAGAGTCTGAGAAAGATTTGCATTTATAAGGCCATATATATATATATATATATATATATATTACACAGTGAGTGCTTGTGGTAATAAAATAGTGCTTGATTCAAAATAAGAGAGCTAAAATTTATACTAATGATAAATATACCTTTGTTCTTCAACATTTGGCACAACTCTGATTTTTATGCATGTGGCAATTATCAAGTCTAAATTGAAAAGTTTCCTATGATTACCACAACACAGAGTTGTACCAAATGGTGAGGAACAAATATGTACTTAGAGTGTGTGTGTGTGTGTGTGTATTAGATCAACTCAAAAAATTTCCATTTTTGTTTATCAACTTTATTCTTCAAAATGTTACAACTGCTTCCCAAAAGCAGAAATTGCTTATGAGTCAAACTTATATATAAGAAATTAAAATAAAAAAAGTTCAAAACTTATCTCTTGACTATCTCTGTTCATCAGGGGTTAGATAAATCAATTCTAGATTTATCTAACCCCTGATGAGCAGATTAATTTCTGCAAAACTTTCAAGATCAAGTTTTTGAAGATTTTATGGTAATATGTTTACTATTAATGCATTTTTTTTTTAATATTGAGCACATTAATTACAAAGACTGCTTACCTTAAAAGCATTCTTTTCCCATAATACACTGGTTAGCATTTTTTTGTGGGGGTGAGGAGGAACACAATCTTTGTTGTTATATATTACATAGCAATTTTTAAATAGGCCTTTGTATGATTTTGATGAGGTGGATATCATTTAACTATATATGGTAAATATATAACCATAATATAAATAAAATATTTCCAAAAATATTTTTGATTTATTTTCGTATCATATTTTTCTTAAAAAGACACGAAGTTACAATGTCATTATTTAAATTTTTTTTCTTAAAAATTTGTGATGTGAATTTATTTGGAAGTTAAGTATGAATGTGACTTTTATGTTGAATTATATATATCTAAAGTAAAATTTGATATATGAAAATAAATCTAAAATATTTTTCTCTCCTGATGAGTAGATTTCCAAACCTAATAAACATTTTTCTATTATTATTATTATTATAATAATATTATTATCATTCCTTGATATTGAACACTGGAATTACAAAAGGATGCTTGCCTTAAAAAAAAAAAAAAAGTCTTCCGGTAATACCCTGGTCAACTGTTTTTTGGTATAACTTAGTCTTTGATATATTATTATTAAAAATTCCGGCATCACAATATCCAGAAGTTGTAAAAGAGAAAAACTGCTATCCCAATATGCATAGACATTTATATATTTTATATATGCACAACAAACATGAGTGAAACAATCTAAGAAAGTCCAAAATCACAACCATAACAAAAAAAAAAGAAAAAGCATTTTGTAAGCTTAAAGTGAACAGAATAAACTCATTAACTACTTGGAACTGGATGACAAGATATCAGTAAATTTCTGTCCTTGCACAGCTGACAAGATATTTCATAGGTGTGATGTTAGTTAGAATATAGACAGCATGCAAGAACCTCAAGAGAAAAATTTTAAAAATTAGCATTTTTTTACTAAATGTTTGCACAAAAAATATCAGTTCCAAGCAGTTACCATAATACCCCATGTAAAATACACATTTTTTTCTAAAAAACAAAAATAAGCAAGATCAGGGGTGCGTATTATGCACAGCTACAAAAAATCTTTAAAAAAATTGCACTAAAATAAAATAAGAATTATCATAAAACTAAATCAGAATATTATTATTCCATGTTTAAATCCGTTTTTTAAATAAGATAGAAACGCTGGACATAATGAAATTGAAGAGGTACACTTTATAGGCTTGATTAGCAAACAAGTGGTGCGTATTATGCATGAATAGAAGCATTTTCCCACACTTTCAGCACAATTTTAGGTGTGCGTGTTATGGATGAAGGCGTATTATACATGGAGAATTACGGTAATTTTTTTTAAATAAGAAAGATAATCAAAAATAGTCAACATTTCTCAGTTAACTCCCTTAGATTGAACTTCGACTGGTTCGACTATAAGGAGTGAAACGCTGTTAAAGAAATTTTAATCATTTGAATTGAATGAGTTAATAATTTCTCAAAAATGTCGGCACTTTCTAGAATTTTGAGAAACTAAAGGTTAAGTAGGAACTGATTAGAAAGACCAACATTTTAGATTTTTTGAAAAGTTTATAATTGGATTTAATTATTAAGACATTTGTACATTTTGATTGCCACGGTTAGCAGTGAAGATGCTCCAAGTACATTTGTCCCTTATCACATTTACAAATTTCTTTTCTAAAGTTTCGATCGTAATTCATATTTCATACTAGGTAGTAAAATGTTAAGAATATTTAAATCATTTAAAAAAAAAAAAAAAAATCCTTTTTTCAAGTCAATTGATTTTAGGTCTCAATTTAATAGCTACAGTGTAACCTGGATATAAGTGAGATTTTCTCTGGTTCCAAATTAGAGCCTGTGTTAATGTATATAAAATAGACCAAACCCGGATATAAGAGACTTCTTCTCCGGTCCCGACAACTCTCTTATATCCGGGTTACACTGTAGTACCAATAACTGAAATGGACTTGACAATTAAAAAACCTTTTTTTCATTGATTTCAAACTGTGATTTAATCAAGAGAAAATGTTTTGGCAACTTATCACAAAACATTGAAAGATGTTAGAGTCAGCTTGAGGGGAAAAAATACTATTCCTTATTTTTTAGATAATTTAAAAAAATTAAATTATTAGAGTTAAAATTTGAAAAAGTTTGGACCTGTGCCACTTGTTACTCACCTAAAAATCCACTAACACAAAGAATGTTCCATCATCATCTCTTGGGGGATGAATAATTTTTCTATATGTCATTTTTAGAATGAGTAAAACTTCTGACATATTACAGATTAGATAGATTAGGCAACTATCAGTCTCCAGAGGTGATGCCATTGTGCTCTGGAGGATGTTTCAGGCTTAGTGTCTAGACTGTGACTTCCCATCTCTCCAGTGCATTAAGCCTTAGTGGAGAGATATGAAGGACAGGCTGTTATCCCTACACTAGGTCGCTGTCCTCTAAAGATTGCTGAAATGCTTCAAAGGGAAAGTTTAAATTGCCATACGGACTAACTCCAGATTTTTCCAGAGTTATACTCTGGAAACTTTTCCAATAAACAGGTATAGCTGCAACATTATTCAACAGTTCCTTAATGTAGATGAACTACCTAGGCTTATAAGTATTTGTCTGCCCAGTGTATGCATATATATAAATGCACATGCACAAATATATTTAGTACTTTTTCCGTAACAGAACTTTCGGTTTGTCACACTGCCTTCTGCTCATGCATTATTATAGTTGATACCATTGTGGTCACATGATCAAAATTTGAGCTTGATCATGCCAGTTTTCTTACTGATGTTACAGTGTAAACATGGCCGCTCCACAAGCAGTGTGCACAAAGGAGGAACAAAGAGCAGTATTGTACTCCACTATTACACCAATGTAAATCTTTGGCTGATGAAGGGAATAGAAATCCTGAAACATGTATCAGCATTCACTAAAAAAGTTCTACCAAAATGTACCCACATTCAACAAAAGGCTTTGTCTACAATTTTATTGTGTTGTGCGTGCATGCAATTCAGCAATTATTGACTTCAAATAATATATATATATATATATATATATATATATATATATATATTATATATCTAAAAGAAATATTTTTGTTTATGTTTTGGATGACAAACTGAACAGATATGAAGCTTTTGAAAAAATCTCAATGAAGAGGATGTGCTTTCATTAAAAATGGAAAACAGAACCTTTCCCTTACAAATGGGCTAGACAGGTTTCAACCCTGGTGGGGGGAACAAATTTCCATTACTAAAATTTATTGGATGCTCAGGTGGATAGACAAAATACACTGTTTAATAAATATAAATGGAGTGTGTATTTCAAATATGGATTACTGCTCTTTATTCCTCCTTGGGACACACTGCTGGTGGAGGGGCCATGTTTACACTGTAACAGTAGCAAGAACACTGGCGTGATCAAACTCAACTACAAAGTATCCACTATAATAACATTTGAAGTGTGTGACATAAACCCTACTGATGATGTTAGCAATTACAAAAACAACTACAATAAATGATTAGGGTTTTTTTTGGCAATGTTTTATCTGAAGCAAAACCAATTTTAGTCAATAAATCCTTTTAACAACCAACAAAGAAATAAAAGCTTTAAACAATTAAGGGCAACACAAAATAGGTTTTATAAAAGTTACTCACTTTCTGTTCTCTTCATATTCAATTTGTTGTTTCATGAACATGGCGTTCTTCAACAGATCTTGGATATTCTGAAAGTGAACACTGCTACTCTGCATTGCATTGACTGCACTGAAATGCAAAAATAATTAGAAAAATAAAATCTTTATATTACCTATGTGAGTTGGTGGCATTAGTAGTATTGTTAGTAGTATTAAATGCTGAACATTATTTATGTACAATTTATATCATGCATATACTTCCAACACAGGGTTTTGTGACATATGGTGGCCATTAATAATTAAGTATAACTCAAGACTTCAATGTTAAAATAAAACAGTATTTAATTACAACCGTAAATAAATACTTAACCAGAACAGAGAAGTAAAAGTCAACCAAAGATCTTTAACCATTTCAGTGAATACCTTGTTAGTAGGGTGGCTCAGTTTAACATCTGGTAAATTCCAAATCAAAATCCTAATCATTGACAAACAATAATTCACACTAATTTGACTGGATAGTTCCACTTAATAACCACTCAATAAACACCCCAGTCAGTAGCCTGACACCACTATCTATACACTTGGTGGAAACATATATTCATAAGTCCAGCATGTCAAACTCGAACATTAGTATCAGTAGTTACTCATTTTCTTCCTACATGACACAATGATAAAAATAGTAAAAAAATAAAATCTTGTAAATTACCCTTACTTTTTGGCATATTCTGCATCAAAACAGGCTCCTTGGACTTTGTGTTGGATTGAAGCTACAACATGCTGGAAGAGAACAAATAAATAATTAACATTATATATAATGACCGAATAAGCTGCATCAGTAAGAATTTTACCCATCCATAACAGAAGCCATGCTAGATAAGGCCATCACATTAGCCTAGGAACAAATAAAAATAAACACAAGCGCATAAAAATAAACACTCCCGTAAATCACTATTCCACAATGAAGACACATGGATAAAGAAAGAAGGGATCTTTGACATTACAATGGGAAGTTTTGATGGTGCCAGACATGTGAAATCATAGGTATATATTTAATACATGAACTAAGCAATAGATAAAAATGATACAGGACTCTACAGGGACGACAGTCTCATAATCTTAAGAAACTATAACAAACAAAACAGACAAAGCTAGAAATGCAATAAGGATTTTTAAAAAGAACAAATTTGACATAGATATAAAACCTAACCTAAACAAAGTAGATTTTCTAAATGTTACCTTCAACCTAAGAAAACCATACAGAAAACCCAATGATAAACCACTGTATATACACACATCTTCCAATCACCGATCTTCAATAATCAAACAGATACCAAAATTGATTAACCACAAGCTTTCCGACAATTCTTGCAATGAAACCATATTTAAGGAAGCGAAGAAAGACTATGAAACAGCCCTAAAAGATAGTGGATTCCCGGCAACACTTACATACTCACCACAGAGCACAAAAAAAGCCAACAGGAAGAGAACTATCATATGGTTCAACCCGCTGTACAGCAAGAACATGAAAACAAATGTAGGAAAAAAATTCCTCAAAATCTTAAACAAACACTTCTTGGAATAAAACACTCTACACAAAATATTAAATAAAAGCACTGTAAAAATCAGCTACAGCTGCACCAAGAACATGGCACAAATAATAAAAAAGCACAACAGGAAAACCATCAACAAACCACCTGAACAAATTAAACCCAGGTGTAACTGTAGAATAAAGAATGAATGTCCCTTAAATGGTAATTGCTTACATAACAATATAATATATCAAACCATGGTAAAAATCAGATAATGAAGAAAAAGTATACATAGGAGTAACTGAAAGACCCTGGAAACAAAGAAACTATGCACACAAAAATATCTTTCACAAATAGTAAATACACGAACAGCACAAAGCTTTCCAAGTATATCTGGGAAATTAAAAACAAAACACAAATCACACTAAAAATATCATAGAAAATAAGGAAAAGTTCATCGACCTACAACAATCAATCCAAAACCTGCAAACATTGCTTGGAGGAAAAAATAGCTATTATTACCTTCTCAGACCAAAATAAATTAAATAAACAACCTGAGCTCATCTAAAAATGCAGACATGTAAACAAATTTTTACTATGTTACTTAAAATTGAAAACAGAAATGAAACACAAATAAACAAAATAATATAAAAAACAATTAAAATAAACTAACCCAAATAAATAATAAACAAATTAACAAACCACTCCCATTAGAATAGATGAAATAGAATAAAAAACAAGTAAAAATAATCAACCCAAATAAATAAAGTAAATAATAATGAACAAATTAACAAACCAATCTCACCAAAATAACCGTTAGAATAGACTACAACAATCAATCCAAAAATTGGATGTAAAAATAGCTATAACTGCTATATAACTATAAAAAAAATTTTAAAAAAGAGTAAATAAAATATACAAAATAAAAAATAAGTAAATAAATAAGAAAAAACAAATAAATATTAATCCAAACAAATAAAAAAATGAATAAATTAACAAATCACTCCCACTAAAATAACCATTAGAACTAATAATAATAAACATAAAAAAGCAAAACAAGTAAAAATAATCAATCCAAATAAATAAATAAATAATAAACAAATTAAAAACCTTTATCTTCTCAGACCAAAACAAACTATTAAATAAGTGAACTAAGCAAATCCCCCCAAATTTTTTCACTACATTTATAAAACATCAAAAACCGAAAAGAATAAATATATAAAATAAAAAAGTCTGAATTGTTAGAAGACACAAAGACTGTAACTGCCAGCCAAAAAAATATGAGATTGAGATCAGATCACGCTTTCATTTTCTATGTGGGTTTACAATTATGGCATTACACATATATGCCAAAAAAAAAAAAAAAAAAACAACAACAAACAAACAAACAAACAAAAGCCATAGTTATTTCTTACCTTTTGGTCCACAAGTTGAGGCAGAGATTTCCTGACATGTTCTTGGACTCTGTAAAAGGCTAACGATGGTTCATTAGCAATGATGTGTAAGTTCTCTGAAAGTTTATCACATACTAAAAAGAAAGAAAAAAAATATACATAATATCATTACTTATGTGGACAATAAAGTATCATCAAATATCATTTCTATAGGAATATTGTATGGTCATGTCAGATAAATATACTTGCATTATCTTGTGAAAACAATCTAATTATTCCATAAGTATCTCCTCCTTTAAATGAATCTCTATTATCAAAAAGAAAATACAAGTGGTCTCATGAATAACAACCAGGAGAATAAAATTGACAAGCAAAGTTGAAATCCCGGCTGAAACAGTTGTGGTTCATTTTTTACTATTGTCACTAGGTCTCATTTTACAATTGAAATGACTATAGATGTAATCATAAGTTCCATTCTAACAGTTTCTTCTATCGTACTTCTCGCTTGTGGAACTCTCTTCCGGCTTCTTGCTTCCCAGTCAACTTTAATTTTAAAAACTTTTGTTGGAATGTTAATTATCATTTTTTTTTTGTTTTTTTAATTCCTGTTCTTTTATTCTTCCAACTCCTTAATAATCTTTTTTTTTTTTTTTTTTTTCTCATATTCTTTCAGACTAAGGAATCTCTGGTGTCCTAGTGGCTTTATTGCTTTGCTTGGGATGAAATTTAAAAAAAAAAAAAAAAAAAAAAAATTAGGTAGATGCACCAAGTTCTGATTTGCTCACACCTAACCTATTAGTTACATACAATCATTTTTTCAGATCACTGATAAAAAAAATTGCTTCAAGTGAATGAATCCATTATACAAAACTTTTTTTCTGTCAGTTTAAAAACATTGCTGTGCCATAATTCTCAATAAACTATAGTTTCTTTATTGAACTGTGATTAAGTATAAATACAGCTTATGTTTTGGATTTATTAATTTAAAAAAAAAAAAAAAAAAAAAAGTTGTTCTGTCAATTTAAGTAATTCAGCATGGCTTCTTCGCGCGAACCACTGCTCAAGAGGTTGACTTATTCTCCACTCTTTTCAGTTCAAACTTCCCCCTAATGTAACCCTCTACTTCAAGTGCCACCCCACCTCACAAGCCATATAAAGGGTGAACCTTCAGGCAAAAAAAAAAAAAAAAAAGACTGCAGCCCTGCAGTTTAACACAAAAATTAATTAAGAAACTTTAGTTGGAACCCATTGAAATTCCCAGGGACACAACCTAATCACCAGCTGTGGGTTCTGGGGACTCACTATTAAATCCTGTCAGCATCATTGCTTGAGTATGTTTTGCTTGTAGCAATACAAGGTGAAAAGCATCAGTATTTAGAAGATGAGTAAATCATTCAATTCTTACAGGTGGAATGTCAAACAGACAATCATTGAAAGCCACTAAAGCATTTTTTTTTTAGGTTATTGTCTAGATATTTTCTTCCTTGTCTTCATCAAGATAGAACCTGAAAAATTAGATAATATTATTCATGATGTCTTAATAAGGTACATTATTATTAAAAAGTTGTTTTTTTTTATGATATGGCTGTGGTGCTAATTTCATTTGTTCAAGATTTTAATACAGAAATTTAAGACAAATATTTGGCAGATCATCAAATTTTGAATGGCCGTAATTTTTCAACCAGATATATTCCCATTATTGTTCTTTTTTTATTATTAAATCCAGATTTTATTCAGCATTTTTTCTCAAATATCAATCATCCAAATGAAGGCAAAAAAGTATTTTTCTGATTTTTTCCATGGTTGCCCACTATGTCTCTGGTGACATTACCTTTCAGAACTTAATAACAATGTTACTATCCTTAGTACAGATTTTGCAATAAGTATATCACATGCCATGCTGAATACAAAAATAACACACTAACTTAATACACTGTAGCAATATGAATAGTAACAGCAAAAAGAAATTCACCTCTGCGCGCCCTGCTGTCTAATTCTGGTTCTTCTCGAGAAGCAAGGTTCCCTCGAGATGCAGGTCCTGCACCAGCCATTCTCCGGAGTAAACCATCACTACCTAGAAAAATAAATAAAAAGTTAAACACTTTTTTGCAATAAAAACAAATACAAGGCATATATTATATATATATTTTATGAAATGGATTAAATCTGACATGTTTTAATTTGTTTTGCTTATTTATATGGATACTCAGGGATATTTAATGATGAGTTCTCGAATATTCAGGTCAGTGAATGTAATTAAATATAAATATTGTTTAATAAAATAAAGAGACCATTTACTTGAATTTTGAGTACTCATCAGCAATAATGTTTAAGCAAATATATATATATATATATATATATATATATATATATCTCTGATGCCACCCCCCAAAAATGTACTCAATCTTTTAAATGATAATAAAGCAGTGTTTATTGACATGCAAACAAGATTAATGGTTAAAATTAAGAAATATTAATGTTTATTGACTTACAAAGAAGATTAATGGCTTAAAAATGAGTACATTTTTAGGTGGACAGCCTGTGTGCAATTGAGAGGGTGCTGAAAAGTTCTCAGCTCAACCCACTGCCCGCATTTTTTTTTTTTTTTTTTTTTTTTCAGAGTGGATGGGCCTCTTGGTTGAGCTAATAATTTTTCAGTATCTTTCCCCCATACACATACTTGCAGAAACCAATTGATAAGTATCTGGTAAAGAAATTTAAACATATTTTGAGATATTTTAAAATAAATAAAAAAAAAAAAACAGTCATGGTTTTGCTTTTATCATTTCTTTTTTTCACCACAGTTCATTTCTTCCAAAAGAAATTTAATCTAACTTATCTTTATATATTTATATATTAAATACCAAAAATATATTGACCTTTGTCCATCAGACAATTTTAAAAGAAAAAGTTAGAAAGAAATCTGAATAAGCATGCTCATTGTTGTTTATTTCTACCGACTTCTTATGAAAGAACACTAATATATCAGTGGTTCCAACAGCAAGTACAAGGGTTAGTCAAAATGCAATGCCTTTTCTAGTTTAATTTGAAATATATTGGAATTCCTCGGGCTTTTATAGCTTTTTCTTTATCATTTCACCCCAAACAAGACAATAATGCCACCAAGATACAAAAGATTACCAGGCATGAAAGAGAATGAGAAGACTTTAGGAAAAGGAAATGGAAACCAATTCCTAAACAGGAAACAAGGGATAAACTCCTATTCCTGTTCAAAAGACAGGAAGGAGTATGAACCAGGCGATAGGCTCGCCTACCTCCTCAATGTAATGTTATTGTACAAACTAATACGGAGATGACACTAAATATCACATACATCAAATTATTGTTTATTCAGCTCCAGACTGTCAGCTAATATCATGTGGGTGAATGGATTCTTCTTTTTGCAAAGATGTGAGAGACTATCTGTCTCTTCCCTCTTCCTTTCATCCAGGTATGCACATCCTAAGCACAGTTGGGTCAATCACCTGTTTACATATCAGTGGCAGCCACTGACAATCTGTGAGGTACAAAATCTGCACCTGGTGGCTAAGTTAACCTTCCAGGTTAACCTGCTAATGCATCTGGTTTCTCTGATGGTCTGGTATAACACTGAGTGTAAAATCTATTTCGGTAACATTGGGGGGTGAGTCAAGCATATATTGAGTTAATCACAGATCAACTTCTCTTAGAACAAAGGTTCTTTATTGATATTAAATTAAATTGAGATGATCCTGTGTTTCCTGATATTAATCACATACTACAGATATAAATCATAAAGTACTTAGAAGCCCAGTAAAAAAAACTATTGCGTTAACATATCTTTTCCTACTCATCATCCTCTTTCAAAATGACTGATCCTCTGAAGCCATTAAGGGCAGTCATAGAATTTCTGGTTGCAGAAAGAGAAAATGCTGAAAACATTCACAGGAAATTTTATAGAAAAGCTGCACTTGATGCAAGCACTGTAAGAAACTGGGTCAGTAGAGTTAATTGCAATCCTAGAGAAAAGAAGATAAACTGACCTTAGAGACAGACACCACAATGGCAAGCCAGCTGCTGCTGCAAAAGATAAGGCTAAACAGGTTGATGCTTGTATAAAAACTAGCAGAAGAATCACTATGACCAAACTCTGCTCAAAGGTCTGAGCAAAGTTGCAAAGTAGGCTCCTAGAATGCTAACAGTCTCCATGAAGGAGCAGAGTGTAATCAATGCTAAAGAACTTCTAGAATGGAACACAGGCAGCAAATTCTTAAGCAGAAAAGTTAAAGATGAGATTTCAGTTCACTACGAAAAACCAGAGAATTAAAAAAAAAGAAAAAAAGATTCATAGGGAGGTGCCATCCAGAAGGAAGTCTAAGATAGAACACTCTCCAGTGAAAGTGATGGGCAGTCTTTTGGGTGCAGAAGGGAGTTATGCTATGAGTGCCCATGTCTTATGACACCCTCACTATTAACACATTTATGTCCACTGCAAAATCCTGTACAAATTATAAAAATTAAAATAAAAACCCTGCATTAGTTAATGGTATCTAAAATAGTAATCTTCTATATGCCAAGTCCATTTAGGACATAGGCAGTCATGGTTTTCCACAATTTTCTGTCCTTTGTAGCTCTTAGTAAAGTTTTTTATATATATCTCATAATCCTTGTTCTGCCAACCATGTACACAAGCTCATGGAAGTATGCCATGTACAATTTTGGAGACATGATGGCTAAAGGATGACATGTGCACATAAGTTGAAAGGACTTTTCCTACAATAACATTTAATACCGAGTCTAATGAATTATACTTAACTATGAATCTGCATAGACAATTGCCTAGTGGACTAAAGCAATGTGTTAGTTCCAATCCTGTATGAGAATAACTGCAAAACCAACCCCTCTCCAAATTTATAGACAAACCATACAGATGTATTTTGGGATTTCTTCCTAGCTAATAAGGTAGGCCACTTCTCAGTCTCATCTGACATAATTTTTGTTTTCATCTTGAAGTCAGAACACTGCAGTCACTTGTCTGTATCCCTTTTGTGTGTTAACACCATCTTTAATTTGTGAACCTTTTGCCTTATTACTGTTGCTTTGCCTTGTATATATTGTTTGCTTAATATTCATTTTGCCCAGTTCTTTTTTTTCTTTCACTTATTTATTGCAATTCTGTTGGGCATTTCTACCAATTACATTTAACCATGGCCAATTACTCTACACATTGCTTCATGAATTTCATGACATAGTAATTGTGAGTTCAATCCCTGGGTCAGACTGTGTGCACTTGAACTAAAAGAAAAAAAAGAAAGCAATAACTGAGGAGTACTAAAACTAAGAACTACATGAGATATATCCCTAGACATGGGAAGTTGAATGAGAAAAGTATACCCCCATATATGAAATAAAGGCTTCAGTTCAGAATTCCCTGTAGATTACCCAGATTGATATACTCTTGATGAAGGCCGAGGGCACAACAGCCGAAACATGATAACAACAAAGATAAGTTCAAGAGTCCACATAGAAATAGTGTAAATAATAATTGGCTTAGTTAGGAAAATTTATGTAAATGCATTCAATCTTATATCATTTTCTACAGATTGTACTTTTTTATTTTGATGCGTTGAATAAATGGTTCCTTAATATAAACCTATGTTCATGTTTAATTCAAACCCCTTTTTTTGGTGTTTCTTTGTTAGAGCTACGCACCAGGGTGTCAGCTACAGCTATAAGTAACAAGTGTAGTTTAAAAATATATTCTTGCTTTCATTTTAATTGTTGTGCAGTGAGTGTGAAACAATAACTCCCTTCACCCACTCCCTTCAAATTCAGAGGACTGAGAAAAAAAAGAAGTAAAGGAATTCATGAGCCTCTGTGAAATTTTCTTTGGACCAATGAAAACCTTACCTTCACAGAAATTAGCCTGTCAGCCAAGAAGAAGAAAAAAATGTAGTGAACATAGGCAAAATTCTTTTTGATATAAAAATGAGGAGAAAAATTAAACTAATAAGAGTTCCTGAAATCATGTGAAAGATTTCATTTCTGTTCATTGCGACTAGTGTTAAAGTTCTTGCCAGTGTAAAATTACTCCCCAGTTATATTATTGGTCTCTAACCAAGCACATGTCACATCAAAGAATTTTCTCTCAACAATCTAAGAAAGCTAAGTGTTTCATGCTATCTATCTTCATCTATTTTTGAATGCATACAACCGTATATCCCTTCTGTGAGCAACAAACTCTTACCTTTCTTTTAACCAATTCTGAATATTATTTTGTGTCAGATCATTTGATCTGTTGTATGAACATTTCCTCTTCATGACAATACATTAAAACTATGGACTTTAAGAATTATGATTTATTTTCTTGAAATGAGCTACTGACACTACTTATAGTATGTATATTTGTGAATAAATTCCTTGTATTGTTAAATCTACCCTGGTGTTTCCTACTCATTATCATCCCCCATTAATCTTCTTGGTGTGGGTAAATCAAGTGGTTATTTTAACCCCTAAACCCCATGCCACTGTAGTTGACAATGTTTTGTGTGAAAATAAATTCAGAAAAGTAGATATGCTCAGAAAATTAAAAATTATGACTGAAGTTTCATAAGAAAAATTAATTAATGAAAATATTTTGAAAGGGTCTAGAATTTAAGAAATCAACTGGAGGATCATAGTCATGAACCTGACCAAAGGTCATCTTCAGAACAATATTGTTGAATTTTAGTTATTTAATTATTTGCTTGAACTTGCATTGCAGAAGAGTGGGAGAATGAAAACTTAACCTTGTAAAAATATTCAATCTGTCCACAATTAAAAAAAAAAAAAAAATAGAAAAGAAGAAATCCAAATTTTTTTTTTTTTTTATATATTCCAGATATAATTTGGTTTATAATTTTTAAGTTTATTCTGACAGATTTCATACAACAAAGAATAGAAGAGACACAAGAAGGTTTCTCAATGACTTTAACTCGGACTGTTACACCTAACTATTACATGCCGACTGCTTGATACGTTCTACATGAGCAGAGGTAATAACAGACATAAAAAGTGAGCGAATATTTAACACACACACAAAAAAAAAATGATAACCTCTATTTGAATTTGAACGTACCTTACTTGAAGAGCATAATAAACTTAATAACTTCATAATATAAGCTATGCTCAGTTCCACGTCCGCTAAAATTTAAAAAAGGCCCGATGCCACACCCCATTTCAGGTGAGTAACTGGAAATGTCACTAACTCAAACAAGAACAGATTCAAAGAGTACAGATCTTTAATACTCGAATACATGCCTCTTTTTTTATTGTAAGTCATAAAATTCTAAAATTAGCTAGTTGAACCAAAATCAGATTTCGACCATCTTTCACAAGAAAAAATATCTTAGCAACACATGAGCTGCAAAGCAAAGAATACCAAACTTATTGATTGATAGATTACGATTATTAAATAAATTAAGTGTGCAAATAAATTAATAAAGTTAAAGTACATGTGTTTTTTACAATAGACAGAACATGGAAATCGGATTATAACTGAAATTATAGTGACATAGTCCTATTTGCAGTTTTTATAAGTACTTAGGTTTCGACCAGTTATTCAATAACTGTTAGTGTTATATTGCTTTTACTTTTTTAACAGCTGACTGTCAAAAACGATTTTTCTGACAAATAAGTAACGAAGATGCAGCATTTTATTTACTTTTTGAGAGCTTTTCCCCTCTCCTTTCTTCCAACATCCATCCGCTTATATTTGACAATTATTTGAAAAAAAAAAAAAAAAAACAATGAAAAATGTATTTTCTTGCGAGAAGAAACAAGAAGCACGTACAAGGGAAAACTCGACGAAGTCTCAAGTTCATTTTCCAGTAACGATCGATACAACAGGGGTTTCTACTACAAATTAAATACATTTTTCTTCATCTTATTGTCGCTTAAGGAAAAATGTGCTTACAGTGCAATGTTCACATGTGAAAATTTATAAATTTATTTTTAAAAACAAAAAGTTAAGCATCTTTTTAGTGACAGAAATTTGACCAATATGATGAAATACGGTTGCGAAAAGCGAAATAACTTTTTCTATCAACAAGTTGAAACCTCTTAGTCTTATTTTACAGAAAAAATTGTTTTTTTTGTTTTTTAAGGTACAATTTCAATAAATAAAAAAAAAACATAAAACTTCCACAGAGAACAAATTATGTATAAAAAAAAAATCCAGGTAAAAATAAACAGTAACCGTGTTAACAGCGAGTTAGAAAAGAAAAATGAGTCATCATCGTTTCAGTCGATGTTATCGAACATTTGCCAATAACACACACTAGTGAAAATATGAACAAAATAAAAAAAATGACTTTGATATCATTTTTACCGGACACGTTTAAGAAGAAAATGTTATATTTTTTTCCGATAGAATTTTGTTTAGTTTCATCTCGAAAACTCCAATTCCCTGTCTATAATTTTCACAGAATTGTATTGTCCCTAGCAAAACTGTACCAGTCAATTAAAGTTCCCTCTGCTGAAATTAGGGTACTTTGCTTATCAAATAAGTTTTTTTTTTCTCGGTTCTAGTTCAAACCAGCAAACGAACTGATGTGCCTAATAGATCTCCTGAACCTACAATTTTATTTCTACCACTACATTTCTAAACTTGTCATACTCATAACTTACACGTATGAAATTATGAATTAATCAGCAATCCAGTTAAAAATGTCACTTGTATATTTATCACATTCCTTCCCTGTGAACCTGTCAGATTTATTCCTGAAACCAATAATTCCGACCTCTGCTCCCACAGATTTAATAATAACAATCATTTTATTTATTTTTTCCTTTTTTATTCGAGCATAATCTTTCTCGTTGCTGTTTAGGAAATTTTTAATGGTTTCATTTTAAAAAAGTTACAAGCGAGCGATAAATCGATACTGCTTATTCATTTCAAGTAAAAAAAAAAAAAATGATTAGTGGGATTGAAAAAAATTTACGAACATAATCCAATCTTTAACTAAAAACACTTACTTAAAGTACCTGAAATAATCTTTAGAAAAATGTAAACAAAAAAAATAAACGCTCAAAAATAAAGTCTGTTGGTTGTTTCACGAAATTCAAAATAAAAAGCACACGTAAAAAATAAATAAATGAATCCAATGAAAAACACAGGGTTTTTTTTTTAAAGAAAAACATAACAACACTCTTTTTTTTTCACAGAATTTGGACAAAAGCGAAGGTAATAAATGACAAAATCCACAAATTAAAAAATTTCTATCTCTTTCAATCAAAAGACAGAAGAAACTGGCAATAACGTCATCGATAGTGTGAATTATAAAAAAGTAACACATCAAATGTGCAAAGACTAAAAGAAATGTCTAATAATAATGACCTTGCATATCTTCTTGCAAATTGACCAAATAGTTCATTCCATTGTCCATTTAGAAATCGTCAGGAACGTGTTTACAATTTTATCCACTGGCAATAATCCACAAGCGAAATGACACTCGAATTATTCTGCTAATGCGTCACATTAGTAATAACACTAACCATACGAAACTATTAATCACAACAAATAATCTATTACACTATGACTGAGCTGTAACAAGTGTCAATAAATAACGCCATCAATACCACGTGGTCTGTGTATATATCCGGGTTGAGCTATAGACTTTTTCTACCTCTTCCAGATCGGAGAGTTAGATAAAGAAGAAAGAGGCTAGGAACTATGGAATGACTCATGGTGCAGCTTTATCACCTTACTACTAGCTAGCTAGTATATTATCATCATCTGCTATGCATGACTGGGATGCTGCTGCTTTATGCTAGTTGTCGTTGGATAGAACAGTTAGAAGAAATACTGATTCAACACAATAGTGTTGACTCCTTTTTTTTCTTACGTAATGTAATCAATTTTGAAATTTAAGACAAAATAATAAAGTTACATTTTACAAATTTAACGTAACTGCTATTTTTAAACGTGTTCTTCAGTTATTCTTAAAATAAGTTTTTAAAATCAATTTTCATTAAAAAAAATAATTAAATATTATTTTTAGTCTGAGGTCGATGGGAATTTTTTAACCTGTGAAATAAATAAAGTTATTCATTCTGCGACTAAAACAATAGTGAACTTAATTAAAAATACACGTATCGGTTTTTCTGCAATTGTTCTGGCGAGCTTTTCTTTTTTTTTTTATTCATTTCAAAAACACAGAATTACCTCCCTTACATTTAAGCTAGTCTCATATTCTGATTATTCATTTGGTTGGGTTTTAATAAAAAATCATGGATCAGAAATAAAATAAAACGAAAAATAACACCCGAGTTGTAATATATAATTTATTTCACACGTATTTTTTTTTTATTATGCAAATAAAAACTGAACCATAATTTAATCTGAGTGAAAAAAAAATTCATAGATAAGATTTGAGGACAATTTCACAGAAGCTTGAAAAAAAATGACCTTTTTTGTTTTGATGGAACATCGTACCACTTCAGTTTCGTAGCTTTTATCTACAGAAATTATGGATATGCGTATTTTTAGTTTTATTTCTGATAAAAGAAGGTTTCAGAATATGAGGCTAGAAATATATGGGGGGGAATCGGTGTGCGTTATGCGAAAATATTTTTAAGAGGGTAAAAAAGAGGAATCGTTGTGAGAAATGAAATTGAAACGGTTTTTAAAGTCAGTCTCGCAGATTATTACGTTCTGGAGTAATGAGTTCGATCCTCAAAAGCTAAGTTTAGTAACAAATCAAGCACGCTATTACATTGTCCTGTCACACATACACTTTGTGAATTACTCAGATGCATTGCTGAGAGAGAAAGTCTAAAAAATCATGTCACCAAAGTTGAACTCGTCAGACAAAAACAAGCAAAATAATTACATCTTGTTCTTCATAATAATTCCCAAAGTTCTCGCATTCAAATCTACTGCCACCATTTTTCTATTTTCGACTCACCCTTTTCTTAGCTAGCTATTTTTGCATGGCTGATGCTAACCTCCACGAGTGCAACTTATTACGCATAGTTGGTTTTACGCTTTCCACTGGCATGAAGTGGAAAGATTATAGTGAAATGAATCATTTGCTAGGAAAAATCCAAAGAATGCTCTGCAATGTTATCGGTCCTGACCCAGCATCTTGACGTTTGTTATTTTCCCATTGTTGTGGAGGAGAAGGTGAAATAAGTTTGAAAAACGATCAGAAGGCTTTCGAGTTGCATAAGGTCGGCTGCGTGTGTAAAACTTCAATCATCCACAAGCATTTAATTTTTGATGTATGGCACAAGGCTAACAAAGGCAATCAAAAGATGACAACATACGTAAAACAATAACAAAATATTTATATAGAAGTAACACAATTATTAAGAATAAACTGCTCAGAATATTTAGCTAAGCTGAATTTAAAAGTTCAGTAATGTTAATCGAACAAATAAAAGTATTTTAAAAATAAAATGTTCCTTCAAAACTGTTTTTGGTACAGAAATTTTACGATACAAAGTTTTTTTGCTTTTTTTATCAGGTCACACAATGAAAAAGAGTTTGCTTTTTAGAAGAAATGTCCTTTGTGACTTAGTCAAATGTTGTGTGTAATATGAATATTGTGAGAATGTGTTTAGCAAAATGAAATGTGTGTGTTTAGCAAAATGGAATATTTGCTTGATATTTCAAGAAGTTCTGTTTGATACTAAATAAAATTTAGTTTTTGTACTTCTGAAAATAATTACAATAAGTCATGCCGCTAAAAGAAAATGTTCACTAAAGAGTAAATTTTGTTAAATAGAACTGAATGAGAAACTTTCTTGAATTGTGTCCTGGAAGAGCTGAAAATATGTTCGGTAAACTTGTAGCTGCAGGAAAAACTTTTTCTTTAAGTTAAGTAATTTCTTGCTGGTGAAGAATCGGGAAAAACTGTAATATCCAAATTAAATTTCTTTAGCGTAGCAGCGATGTGTCTGGTTGATTTTCTTTTGTCTTACTGTGAAAGAGTTGTAAGAATTCTGCAAAGCTGAGAATAGGTTGATGCTTGTAATGTTCGTAATGTTTGTAATTAAGCTTCTTACGTACGTGTATGTGTGCGTGTGTGAATATGTCTTTATAGGGACGCCATGAAAACATATTCGCACACGCACACACAAGGGGTCGAGGCGCGATTTCTTAAACAGCTACATTTTAGTAAGCGAAAGAAATCACAAAGAAGAAGAAGAGGAAAGAACGAAATTGTATCTGGTATTTATAATCAACGTTGTCACGTGATAGGCTCCGAAGAAAGAAGCGGTAAATTTTGACGTGGTCATGCACTGGAAAAAGATTTGCGTGTGGGTGGATTGCACCGCTCACTTGTGTTTTTATTGACCAATTAGAAGTTGAAGCTTTCTGAAAATATATAAGAAGCTGGATAAGCTCTGTGATCCGCTTTTTGCACAGATTTGAACAAAAATTTGACATTGATAAAAAAAAATGGTAGTGTGGTGCTAAACCATCACATGGATTTCCTCTTGTCTTCTCTAGAATTCTTTTCAAAGCTATTGTTCCAGTAATTTTTCTTCCTTAGTACGTCAACCTCATGAATTTAAGCGCATTACTAGATTGGCAGCTAGGTCCCGTCGTTTTACAGTTGAAATAACGAGATGTAACTGCAAATTTTATTCCAATAGTTTCCTTTCTCACTTGTGAATCTCTCTTCTGGTTTCTTGCTACAATCTTCAATAATTTAAATGCAACATCAATCGCTATCTTCTGCCTTCCCGAAATAATAATAATGAGACTGTACCAATAGTAATCGGAGCTTTGGGCGTTGTTTGAAAAGGAATGGACAATTTTACTAAGTGTCCCGGGTAACATCAACATACAAGTTACCAAGAAGATCACCCTACTAGAAACATCCCATATACTAAGAAAAGTGCTATCGATTAAATGACAATTCTCCTATAGGGCCTAAGGACCATAATTTGTACCCGGCTCTACAGGATACAAAGCAGGAAGCATAACGTACACAAATAATAATAACAATAATAATAATAATATATAAAAAAAATACTAGTAATATAAAATAATTAATAATAATAAAAGTCTGTCTATATTTCTGAGATGAGGTATTATGTACATTATTTACATTATTCGGACTATTGTCCTCATCTTTGTCGCCATATTTATCACAACGTTTCGGCCGTTGTACGTTCCGGCCTTCTTCAGGTGGTTGGAATTTCGAACAGAACCCTTTATTTCGCTCACTGGGGTAGACTGTTCTAGTTCCACGTGCCATGCGTGATGGATGTCAGTTATCAGTTATCTCCTGCTAATTTCCCTCTGAAAGTTCTCCACTGCCTTAACCGGGTATTGAACTCACTCACACTCTTTGGGTCCTGTCACTGGGTCTAACCAACGCCTTTATCCACTGTGCCATGTGTCCTTGAGGACACATGGCACAATGAAATAAAGGGTTCAGTTCGAAATTCCAACCACCCGAAGAAGGTCGGAGCGTACAACGGCCGAAACGTTGTGATAAATATGGCGACAAAGATGAAGACAATAGTCCGAATAATGTAAATAATAAAAGTGTAGATAACTATTATAATAGTCTAGGTTTGTCTTTTACACTTACTTTTGGGAGAATTGCGTTTAAAATAAAGCCAGACTGTTCAAAATAAATTTGATGTGCTAAATTTATCTTCTTTTTTTTTTTTTTTTAACTGATGTTCACCCAACACAAGGCCCAGAGTCCACTCAAGGTAGAGGGTTACTGCATGGAGTTATATTAACGTAGGAAAGGACAAACGTTAGTAGTATAGAGCTTAAACAGACTTTAGAAGGAACCGGAAACCCAACCTTAAACAGGAACCTAGTGTAAACTTCTACTCCTATTCAAAAAACCTGGGTGGAGTGTAAACCAGGTGATAGGCAAACCTATCAACTCCTATTCTGTTAAAGTATTGAATTGGTGCATAATTATCAGGCGTTTTTGTAGGTGAGTTTTTGTTGTTTTTTTTACATTTTTAATAAAAATATTATTTTATTTTCAGGTTATAAAAATGCGTATCGATAATCATACGCTCCAGAATAATCATTTAAAAATATTATTGTTGAATTGTTATGTTTCTTTTTTCATAATAAATATTGTTTAAAAAACACTTGATAATTATGCACCAGCTTGTAGTGCCACGCCTACATTTCTTCAAATTTGATTGGTCGATTAATATATACTAAAAATAATAAGACAATTTATCGATCGCATTTCACCATACTGATTTTTTTTCCTACAGTTTGCTCACAAACAAGTTTTGTTATAAAATCACTGATTGGTTCATTTTTCATCCAATCGAGTATTTTTCGTATACCTTCAAAAATATATCCCGCGTTCGTGCTGGGAGCCACATATAGTAGTATAAATTTGGATGCATTTCCCAAATCAAACAGCAGAGTAATAGACCACAGTAGAGT